GAGGCTATCGAATTCCTAAAACGTCTATTAATTTTCTTCCCCCAGACTTCATTCCATTTGCTTTGCCTCACGACCCAGTTCTTGCCGTGGGGCCACTTTAGCTACACCTAGTAGCTAAATCTGCAAATACCCCGAAGCTTTACTTCCTTCAGAAGGATTTCGTTTGATTAATTTACACTCTGGGGCGACATTTCTCAGTTGAGTAGGAGAGGAAAAAATGAATGTAATTTAACCGCATTACCCACATCATGGATGGGGAAACGTAAGGAGTGTGTGTAAATGATTTATTTGCCGTATTACTTAAGTGAAGATGTTTCTAAGCTTAGGTTTTACCTTGTCCTATAAGAACTTTATGAGCAAGATATTTTAGATTGTGGTAGCTTCATGTTTTTTTAAGTCTGGTTCTGCAAGCTAAAGCTCTATTTTCTGCCAATTGTGAAATAGTAGAGCAGACTAAAACCATGTGCTTTGTATTATAAAAATTGAATCTGATGTTCGTGTTTAGAAAAATCATAATCACGCTCACCATTTGTTGATACGGATAACACAGCTCTCCTTTGCCACATAAAGTTGGTTTCATCATAATTGCTCGCCTTGGTGTGTTTTATTTTCCTAACTCTAGTAAACTCGATTTGGTTATATTAAAAACCATTCAGTGGAGGAAATTTGTAGCATGGAGCCTGGTTTGAGTCCCAGCTCTTGTGATTTGAGAGCAGTTTCATCAGTTTTCACATCTGTAACATGGATGTGTTCATAATAGTCATAATAATAAGTCACCTCCTAGAGTTGTTCAACAATCAAATCAAAAAAAGTATCTGGAAGTACATTGTGAGTGGTAAATAATTTAATAATTGTAAGGAAGAATTTTATAAGCACAGATTTGCTTTAAAACAAGAAGGCTCCTAGAGGTGTGCTATATGAATTACTGGAGGTTCCAGAGAATTTTCCAGACAGTCCGGCATATATCCAAAATTCAAATCCTATTAAAAACACATTTTAAAAATAAAAGATACTCGTCATGGCATTCCCAGATCTAGATTTAAAATGACATAAATAAAACACTGAACAGTTTTTGTTTTTTTAATCCAGGAAAAAGCTTCAAGATTTTCTTCTGCATTTGGTATTTGCTGGGTGGAGTGGGGAGAGGAGTAGCAAATGGGAGTCACTCTAGGACTGAGCCTTTTGCATCATCAGAGAGACCCCCACACCAGAGAGCCAGGAGATTATCACCCAGGAAGGCATCGGAAACAAGTGTGCAAACCACACTGCATATATTCTAAATGACACCTGTGACGTTCCTCCCCATAAATCAGGGCCATGTGCAGTTTCAAAGGGTGGAAGGTTTTTTCCCCACCATTTTTAAGGGGAATCATTTGAATATGTTATTCCCCCCATATTATACCTGCCAGTGTTTATCAGTAAATAAATACTCAGGCTGCTTAGCAGTGGCTGTTTTGGGGGGGTATGGAGTATAATACGGTTTAAATGCAAGTCCATCCTAGCCTCCAAGTGGCCAGGAAAAACAGGTGCTAGACTTCAAAGAGATCTGGAAGCGAACCTGCAGGTCTCAACTGCTTTTCCAGCCCTGAGCACCATGTGGCCTGTGCACGGGACAGCCGTGAAAAGCAGCCCTCGACACAGAACCAAGTGTGTTTTTATTATTCATATTCACCCCGGATCTGTTGATGCAGAAAACATGCTCTCCTGATGTGGCCACTGAATCATCACTTGCTCCTTTCAGAATCCCTAAAATCTTGTATTCTGGCGGTATTTGGCAGGTCCCGTCTCAAACTGCAGCAGCCCGTGCTTGCCAGCAAAGTGTCTGCAAGTGGTTTCAAGTCATTTTTTTAAACAAAGGCTTTGATGTTCGTCCACCCGTTCCGCACATACCGAGGGTCGCACATCCCGCCACCCAGTTGTGCCAGATCTTGTTCTTTTTCCTTTTTTAATTTTAACATCAAATTTGTACTTTGTTTAACAAGAAAAGTAGGAAGCCGCGAGCTATGCAAGGAACGAATAAAGTTTATCCTGAGGAGGTTTGCGTCCCTCGTGAAGGCCTTTGTTTTTCCCTTATAGTTTGACCCGTTGTGGCGTGAAAATTCTCTTTGATTACATTACATTTTGCTTATAAGAAAGAGGTATTACAGATGGTTAAACTGGTTTTTTTAATTGAAATATTGTTGATCTGCAATGTTGTGTTAGTTTCTGGGGTACAGCTTGGTGATTCAGTTATGCATTTATATATGTATACTTTTTCAGGTTCTTTTTCATTATAGGTTATTACAAGATACTGAATATAGTTCCCTGTGCTATACAGGAGGACCTTGTTGTTTATCTGTTTAATATATAGTAGTTTGTAGCTGCTAATCCCAAACTCCTAATTTATCTCGCCCCCTCCTTTCCCCTTTGGTGACCATAAGTTTGTTTTCTATGAAAGAAGGTTAAACCTGTATATTAATACATGTCTCAAGACTTCTTCAGCAATATTTACAGCAAAGAGGGGATGAGGATGTGTATTTTGCAAATCAGCTTTCTTTGCTTAGTAATTTCCTTCCAGGCTTCTCAGAGTGTCACCCATGAATGACATGTGTGGGTAGATGGAGCAAAATGATGGAGATATTTGTGCCATCCTGCTAAGTGAATAATTCTAATAGTCAGTGTAAAAAAAAAGCTGGCAAGTTTCCCCCAGACGCCCTTCTATTTTTGACTCTGCCAACTGGGCCGAGAGACCTGGCTGTGTGACGAGCAGGGGCTGCCGTCCCCTGCCAAGAGATTTCTGTGTCGTCAGCTCACGGAGACCTAGCAGGCTTCAGAGAATATTTGGATGGGGTTGGTGGCAGTTTTATTGCTACCATCTGATTCTGTTTTGGGCCTGGTGGCAGTTTCTGCTGCTTTGTCGCCAACGGAAAAAAAAAAAATGCTGTCCTGTATTCATCTCAGAAATCGTCTAAAATGGTCATACCTCGAAGAGCATAGCATTCTGTTGATATTGGTTGGCTCCAAGACATTGATTCCTTATTCTAATTTGAAATTACGTTGTCCATCATAGGAATGAGCAAGACTAACAGAAGCTGGCAGCTGGGACGTGTGAAGGTCCCCTTGCACGCGACTTCCACTTCTTACAGTCCCGCCACACTGCGGGCCCCAGTAGGGGAGGCAGAGGGTCTGTCTGTCTTGTTTATCACTTTTTCTCCAGATCTTAGTGCAATGTCCAGTGTAGAGAAGTTGAGTTTTTTTGAATGAATGAATGGATGAATGAAAAGCCAAGTAGAAAAGACATTCTGGGAGCAGTTGCAAGAATAAACAGTTCACCTAATCAGCTGCATTTTGTGTAGTTTTTCATGGTTGGTTGGTTGGTTGGTTGGTTTTCAAAGCTAAGAAGTATAGGGGAAATCCCACCAGACTCCAGTCTTCATGTGGTTGTTGTTTATTTATGACGTGGATGGAGTGAAGGCCTCCTTTCTCCACCCAAGCACCACATCGTTATACTGTGTCTTGGGTGCCACCATCAACCACCACTTTGTCTTCACGTTGCTGCTGTTGTCTGCTACTCCAAGATACCCCAGTGTTGGTGCCCATTGAGATGAGTTCCATTTTTGTTAATCACTCCTGCTAATATTCCTGCCGGGTAGATTCTGTGAGGCAGGATTTGCTGATTCATGCCTATGACACTTTGTTTTAGAAGCTCCATAATTGACTTCCAGAAAGGTTTTGCCTATTTACGTGATTACCAGGGGTATAAACCAGTAGACAGCTGTGAAAGTAAGGTAACATTTTAGAATTATTGGAGGATGATTCCAGGTCACTTAAAACTAACTTCCTGTAAGCTCACAAAAATTCTGAGGACAAGAGACTCTTTAGATTTCTTTCATATTCTCCATCATACAGTTAACTGATGAATGTAATTGATCTCTTAAGTCAAGAAGCCTTACCTTTTTTCTCTTCACCATCACCTCAGGCATACATCCAGGGGATTTAAGAGGAGGAAAATGTAGCTCTTTTTCTATGAGGATATGTGGGTTCCAAAGTGTTTACTTAGATACGTGGTGAAAGCTCTAAAGGTACTTACTCAACTCATTCTTGTGGTTAGACTTTCAACTACTAACGTTATAGGCATAAAGAAAAAAAGTAAGAAAAACTAGAGGCCGACATCAAGGCAGGAAGAGAGTACCTCTACAAGGAAGTGAGGGATCAGATGGCTCAGAGGAAGGACACGCCGCCAGTGGGAAATAGGTCTGGTGTGTGTGGTGGGATGTGGGAGGTTGCAGGAAGTCTTAGTGTAGAAAATTGGTCAGTGGATGCAGTATATTAGAAAGTAGATGGTTGGGAAGCTGGATAGTTAAAGCAGAAATGTGAAAAGCAAGATGTGGAATCGGAAAATAGGACTTCAGAATTTAAAAGAAATGTGACATTTCTTAGTAGATTATACCTAGGTTGTGTTTAGCATACAACAACGAGCTATCAAGGCTATGTATGTATGGCCAGTGCAGGTAAATAAGACCGTCAAGGCATCATGGAGAGGAAAGAAGAATTTGATGACTCATATTTCTGCCCAGCTCAACTCTTTTTTTGGGGGGGGGTACAGTTGCAGGTTATGGCTAGATTTGTTTACATAATGGGAAACACCTGATTAAGACACAATATGGAGCCAGTCCTGACAATCAGACTGGCTGCATTCAGTAGAATGCCAACAACGTCAATTGCTGAAATCTCTTCCGTTCCGTTGTAACACAAATGATGGGGAAATTTAGTTTATGTGGCTTTGGCGTTAGACAGGTTAATGACAGTTCTGCTGTGGATTTATGGGACAGGGACTACTGCAACTTGAAATGCCTGTGACTAGACTGCTGGTGCCCGTCAGATTCATCTCTATCCTAGTGAGGATGAACATCACCTCCCCAGGGACAACCAAGTAGTGGGAGTCCTGGATCAGCGTGCTCACTTGTTGCAGTCTAACTGTGAGTCATCATTGGAAATACTGAGTTTACTTTTAATTTTGAGAAGGTCAATGTGTGTGTAAGAGCTGTGGAAAAGCCCAAAATTCATTTCGATTAAATTGTCTGCATTCTTGGACATCGTGACCCTATCACGCACTTGGTCTCACAGGAGAAGTAGCGCGATTAGGAGACTTGGAATTCTTTCCCCGTGACTTTGAGGCAGGTGATTGAACCTCTCTGAGAACACAGTTCCTCTTTTGCAAAATGGAAATAATGTTTACTTCCAGTCACAGGGTTTTTTGAGGGCTCAAAATAATGAAGGAGGTAAAAGCTAAAGTACTGCAAAATTGTAGGGCACTTTAAAAAAAAAACACTGTAGTTTCCTAAGATTAATTATTATTATTATCTTTTATTGAAGTATGGGTGATTTACAGTGTTGTGTTAGTTCCTGGTGTACAGCATAGTGATTCAGTTATACATATATGTGCATTCTTTTTCATATTATCCTTACTTTGATATTAGTTTTTCTGTTTCCTTTCATCTCTTTTGAGCATCACCCTTATCCTTCAGTAATAAACAGAGCTGCAAGTAGTGAAATTAGGCTGGGAAATTAGAGTTGTAAAGCTGGAACGAGTTACAGGTAAAGGGAAAAGCAACTGGATTAAAATCTCATCAAGGTAAAAATGACCACAGGTATAACTCTAACAGAATTATTTAAATTTTTTAGAAATGTGCTACTGACTGTTAGTCTAAATAAATTTCAAATTGTGGAAGATATGACATATTGACAAGGTGGGACTCAAATTTATTTCCAGCTCAGTGTTTTTGGGCGTAGGGGAATGATGTGTCAATACAGTTTCTCGTTAAGAATCAATTTGGGGCTGACATTGACAATCAAATTGATTGCAATCCATTGAAGAGGAAGTCTGTCCCATCTTTTTTTTTTTTTTTTCCATTTGTATATATATATTTTTCCACCTCCTTCATCTCATCCTAAAATACAGGGCGATTACTGGGTTTTAAAGCATTCCCCTTCTGACATGTTGCTGACCTCTAATTTCACATAACAGCGCTCTTCCCTTAGTTCAAGGATGTATGTCTGTTAATTGTAGATTGACGTTTGAAGAGAAAGGTGGTTGTGATGTGAAAGGCTCGACACTTCTCCAGATGTTTCAGTCTCCCCACAGTGCTTCCACAATACAGTGAGCACAGTTGTGGACTGTGCAAGGCTACACTCATAGCTTTTGGGATTTTCATCAATTTGTCCTTCTACATCAGTCAACAAATTTCTGTAAAGAGCCAGCTAATAAATATTTTATTAGACCATACAGTCTCTGTTGCCACTTCTGAACTCTGCCATTGTACATGAAATCAGCCATGAGTGTGGCTGTGTTCCAGTAAAACTTTATTTATAAAAACAAGCATTGGGCCATTTGACCTACAGGCTGTAGTTTCTGACCCCTGTTCTACATCATTTCCATAAAGATAGACAGATGCACTTACAATGTTAAGTGAAATAAGTTTATTAATTTGGGGTATTAATTTATAAATACCCTAAAGGGGAATCAAAGATAGACTTTTCGAAGTTTGTTTAGGAATTTACCTACATAAGACTGTGTTATCCCAAATTTAGTTATGTACAATAGATATTTGACCCTTGAACAACGTGAGTTTGAACTGCATGGGTTCACTTATATGTGGATTTTTTTCAAATTGGAAAAATTTTTTGAGATTTGTGACAATTTGAAAACCTGCAGATGAACCACATAGCCTAAAGATATCAAAGTTAAGGGAATGACATGTCACGAAGGCATAAAATACATGTAGACACTAGTCTATTTTATCATTTACTACCATAAAATATACACGAATCTATTACAAAAAGTTAAAATTTATCAAAACTTAACGCACATAAGCACTTACAGACCATACCTGGTGCCATTTGCCCGTGAGAGAAATGTAACCAATGTAAAGATGCTGTATTAAATCATAACTGCATGAAACTGACTGTAGTACACGCTGAACTACTGTAATAATTTTGCAGCCGATGATAGTCAGCTGCTTATGTTATAGTAAGGCTTCCAGGCAACAGCAGGCTACTGGCAGTTGTTTTGGGGGAGTCAAAAGTTACACGTGGATTTTCCACTGTGCAGGGGTCAGCACCCTTCACCCCCGAGTTGCTGAAGGTCCACTGTAGGTTGAATTCTGGCAACAGACTTTGGGGATATTTACTGAAGTATTTACTTTTCTACACACTTAGTTTAGCATGTTTCACGGCTGTCATTTTAAATTGATACCACCAGCCTAATGCCAAGTATATACTGTTGAGGGAGAACCTCGTGAAAAAGACAGCAAGGGAGGCCTTGGAGAGGGAAGTTTACCTTAAATGATCCTTGAAGTCAACATCAGATACCTTGAGAAAGAAGCCATGGCTGCTTGATTTTTAAGGTCTTCAATTACAGTTCTTTGATTCGTAACCTGAAAAAAAAAAATTCTCCCTCGACCGTTTCAAGCCATGTGGAATATCTATTACTGCTTAGGAATTTACTGTGGTTTTTCATTGATCGCAGCCCCAGACTCTGGAATAGGTATTAATTTATTTGGGCAGAGAGTGAAGGAATCCACATGCAGAATAAAGCGAACTTTATGCTGAAGCAGAATATCGAAGCTGGGAATGATTAATTCTTAAAAAACGAACCATCAGCATTAATAAGTATTGAATTCTAAGACGGTTATTTTGAAGTCTGCAAATACTGAAGTAATCTGACTCACTTCCCAATTTAAGTGGAAGCTTTTTTTTTTTCAAGCTGAAGAGTTCCCCACCCCAGCATGAACAATATTTGTTTAGAGCCATTAGTAAATTATTAATCTGCATTCCAGTGTTACATGTTTGAAATACCAGTCCGCCCTGTCCGTTAGGGATTTGATCTCACGCTGCAGTCGGTGGAGGGTTCTGGGAAGTGGGGATGGCTGTGGTTTGCTCTTTGAAAGACCTTAAGAGAGAATCAAAAAGCCTTGGTTGTCCAGGAAGCAGGGCTGCCTGGTGTTTGACAGCTGGCAGTTTCCATACGAGTCATATGATGCCGTGAACTTGGAAGGAACACTAAATTGTGGGAAAGTTTGGGTGGGCTTCCTCTTCCCTTTGATTTGCAAAGGTCCTCGAATGTCCTTCAAAGTGTTTCTGCAGCTCTTTTGAACAGATGTCAAAATCTCTTTGGGTTTGGAGCTACCCCGTGTGTTTATATTCTGATTCTTTGGCCCATTTTCTTCCAAAAGTGCACATTTAGGGTTGCTATGGGGGCATCTAATGAACTGAACTGGTCCTGCGATTCTGGGGAGCTCCCTACCCTTGGCTCCCCGTCATCTTCGAGCTTTGGCACATTAGGGAAGTCACTTAACCTCTCTGATTTCCTCATTGAATGGAGGTTATAGCTCAGTGGTAGAGTGCGTGCTTAGTATGCACAGGGTCCTGGGTTCAATCCTGAGTACCTCCATTAAAAAAAACCCCAACAGTATGTACATCACAGTGTTGAGGATTAAACAGTGTAAGTCATGGGACCCGGCATGAAGTTTTCTCCACTAGAATGTAAGCTCCTCGGGGAAGCTATATTCCCACTGCCCATAGCAGTGCCTGGCACACAGTAGGAGCTCAATAAATATGTGATAAATAAATACCAAGCATTCTGTAAACATTAGGTATTATGGTCATTATTGATAATATTCTTGTACTTATTACTTATAGCCTTAGACTCAAGTCTCCTTTTGAGTCCCTCCTTACCACTTGCCAATGACGCGGCTGTGATGTCACCGGAGTGCTGAGTTCAAATCCTGATCTGCCCTGATTAATTATATGCAAGGTTGCTTAATCTCTCTGAGCTAGTTTCCCCATCTGTAAATGGGGATAAAAGTGCCCTCAGAGAATGAAAGTGGGTACTGTATCTCTGCCTTTGTTTTCTTGAGAATATATGGTTGTAAGCAACGCCGGTGCCTCCTTTCCCCATTTCTTGGATTTTCAGCGGCCCTCACTGCTTAGCCCTGTAGGTGCCGTACAGCCACGCTGGAAGCCAGTGTGGGCTGCCCTAGGTGTGGGGGTCTGGTGACGTCCTTTCCGCTTTGCTCGAAACATCTGGTTTGGATCAGGCTTATCTCTGGGCCGCTGAAATTGTGTATGTCCTTTCAGTTTCCATGATCTGTCTTCATAAGCTACTAACAGTTATGCTACTTCATGTTCTATGGATTGGAGAGAGACCAAAACCAGCACCACATTGGGGGTTCACAGAGGCTGTGAAATGAAGTTTGATGTCCTCCCCATCACTCCTTTGATTCAGTGTCTGCTCAGTCGCCAACCCGGGGCAGGTTGGTTCCTTTCCAGAGCTTAAAATTTTGACGGTTTGAGTCTGGGAATGGGATCAAGCTCTGTTCCCTCCTACGGTATCTCTCTTCCAGTCCACACCCTGGGAGGTAGCACAGGTCCAGGCTGAAGCCACTTCCCCAGTGTGAGAAAATGCCCTGTTCTGCTCCTGCCTCTTTTCTTTGGTTTGAGCAAAGGCCAAATTCCACAGAGCTTTTTACTGCCCAGTTAATAGCCACGGGTGAACTTTCTCTCCCTCTCTTTGTTGATACGTCTGTCACCCAGCCCCGTGCCCGCTGGGTGTAGTGCGACGAAATCAGAACTGTCACCAGTGCAGCTGCTCCTGCTGTTACCAGCCCCACCACCCCGCTCCATCTCCTTCAGAGGTAAGAACCTCCGTGAGGCTCTGCCTCCCCGCCTCCTTTCAGCCAGGGGTGAGCCCCTGTACTCCTGCCCTTGCTCTTGGGCCAGTCTCCTTCTCTCGTAGTGTCGGAGAGGGGAGGGAAGAGGGTGTCACTGGCCCAGGATGTGTCTGAAGATGGCAGCCCAACCTAGCCTTTCCCTGACTTCACTCTTTCTCCCACCCCCACATCCAGCCATCAGCATGGCTCGTCATTTCCGCTTAAAAAGACAGCAGACCTGACAGCTTTATATCACTCCATAGCTGCCGCCCTAATTCAAAGACCACCCTTTCTCACCTAGAATGGTGGAGGATAGTCCCAGTTAGTCTCTGCCTCCATACTTGCCCCCCTGATTTCTCCACAGTGTACTGTTTTTAAGGCAAATAAATGCAAATATTTATATAATGCCTACAAAGTGTCAGTATGAAAAGTCATATTTAGGACTAGATTTCCTGAAAAATTTTTACAAAATGGCAGAGGCAAACAGGCAGTCGGTGACGCAGGGCTGCACTTGTATTGGGTGTGTGGGGATGAGAAGCAGAGAAAAGGTGGAGGACCAGACTGGGGACTCCTGCAGAAAGCTCCGTGCTCCTTGGAAGAGTCAAGTAGAAAAACAGCTTCCCTGCAGAGGGGAGGTGGTACAATCATGGCCATGTTAGTTCCTTCTCCATCCAATAAGCTGCAGCCAGGTTCCACTTCTAAGGGTGCATGTAGGTGGTTGCCTGAGTCCTGCTGCTTAGGACCTTCCCAGGCTCTTCTCCTTTGCTCCCAAGGAGTTCCCTGACCCTTTTTACATCTTCAGGAAGAGGGTGGGCTCTGGGCCATTCAGCCAATAAGAGATGGACTCTGAACTGGATGATTTTGAGTCATTTTCCAGTATCCTACGCTGACAAAAGGAGGAATTTATGTAGTGATCACATCTTTAATTAAAGCATAGCTATAAGATATACAAGTACAATGCACATTTTAAAAGAAAGGTCTATAGACGAAATCATAAGGATAAAATAAACAAAAAGTAATTCTGTTGTGTAGGAGTCTTTCAGGCTCCAAGGATTATTTTAAAACCAACAAATATCACCAGTTCACGTGACGCTGAAAAACATCGTGTGATTTTAAAGTGGGAGATGGGTTCAGGCTGACCACCCAACTAATTCTACTGTGCAATTTTCCGGAGGAAGTGAGAATTATTTGTGTATTGAGAGAAATATATAGTTGTCTGGGTTTTTTTTTTTCCACGTAAGCACCTGATAATAAAAAATGTGCCCAATAGAAGAGGAACTGAACCTTTGAGTCTGATTGGAGTTTGGTCTTCACGGCATCCAGGACCATGAAGAGTGTGTGGTGAGTTTCCTCTTCACGCCGCTTTGAAAGTTCCAGTTGTGCTTTGAGAAGATTCTTGCTGCCTCCACGTTCTGCTTCACTGGACAGCTCGGGTCATAGTTCATAGAGATCAGAGCTGGAAGGAGCTGTGTGTGGGGGGGTCAAGCCATGTCCCCCACTTGCCAGGCAAGAAAATCAAGGCCCAATACTGAGAGTGCAAAGACTTACCCAAGCTAACAGAGGGCCACGACAGAAGCGGTGAAAACAGACCTCTTGTTCCACACTCAGCAGCTTTTCCCCAGCCTGGGGTCAGTTTAAGAAGCAAAAGCTTGTTTAATTTTAATTAATTTACCAGAAATGTAAGAAGGAAATGCTAGATTAATTTTAAAAAAATGACTATTAGTATGCCTTCATTTTAAAAAGCTCATAAAACAACTGGACATGTACATTTTCGTACTTGTTCTTCTAAAGGAGATGTTATTAGGTTGCACTGTCAAACTCTAGAAAACCCTGAGGTGAACTTGTAAATCATCCCCAGCCACAGCTTATCAGGGCTCTGTGTGCGGGGCAGCTGATCTCACACCCTGCTGACTGGGATTCGCTACAGGAATTTAAGGCTTTCAGTCAAGCTTTGATCATTTCCACAAAATCCCTGGTTATGTAATTTGGAGAGTTTTGATTTTTGTTTTCCTTTCCCCCCTAATAGAAAAGGAAAATTGAATTCATTTAGATTGTTGCAGCCCTGCTGAAGGGGAAGATAGTTCCCTGGGCTAACATTATATTTTTGCAAAAAAGCCTGGGAATGCTGAAACTAAAAAAGCAATTGAACTACTATTTAAAATTTGTAATTTGCAGTTGAGACAATCTGGATTCTCCTCAAGGCCTTCGTGACTTGCTGATAGAAGTGAGGCCCTTAGGAGTCTTGTAACATCTTGTGGGCGTAAGTCTCCTTACTCCTCAAGTTCGCCCAACAGTCTGAGCCAAGTAGGTGCCGCACTTGGGCATTTGTTCGGCCAATAATTCTGAGGTTCTGCTCTGTGTTGCTTTCTGTGTGAGAAGCTTGGATCGGAATTAAACAGGCAGGACACAGCTCTCTTCTGCCTGGGCTTCAGGGAGAAAGACTATTCACCTTGAACTTGGGGAGCTCTGTATATCAGCCTCTCTTGAGATGCTTCTTCCCCACCTTTTCTCACCTTCAACCAACCTAGATTCTCTGGAACCCGGACCCTACCTCCAAACCTGCCCAATTTCCCAAGATGGCCTGATTTTCTAACTTTTTTTTTTAATTGGAAACTGAACTGTTATTTTTTAAAAAATACAATTCAGGATTTAAGTGATTTGACCAAGACTTTCATTTCTGTATGTTCACTGACTAGGCACCCTCCCTGGTAAGGTCTGGTTTTTCTAACAGTTTAGATTTCATATACTCTGCCTCATTGCCCACATAGATTTATGTACTTGTCTGGTTTTGTGCCATGTTCTTTGACCTCAGAAAATTTAGTTACCCTACCTTCTCCCATCTAAGCCTTCTTTTCTTACTATAGTTTGTGGCCAAAGTGGGTCCTGCCCTCTAAGACCGAGGCCACGTGGAAGGATGCCCCACTTCATTCAAGTGTACAGCTGGGGCAAGGGAAGAGTCCCTCCTCCGCCCTCTTTATATCTTGAACCTCAGATGTCTCTAGACTCTGTTTTCATCCTGCTTTGGGGAGCTTCCTCTGTCTCCAGGCACCCAGCGGGGGTTCCTGGGACCAGAGAAGTCACAGCACGCACAGAAGGCTCTTTGTAGCTCTGAACTCAGAACACCAGAGCCCTGAAAGCTTTAGTGGTGATAGAAGGTGACAACCCCCCAGATGCTCTTGTGGGCCAGCGGGACCCTAAGCTTGCTGTTTTCCCTTAACCTCGAGGCCCCCTTCCTCCGGCGTGGCAGGGCGGGCAGCACACACCAGTGCTGACCTAATCACCAGAGAAGGGCACACAGCCCTTCTCCATATCACCCCTAATTCTTAAATAGGAATTTGAATTTTCATGTTGAAATTTTTTTTTAGCATATCAGGTTCAGAAATGACCATATTTCATCAAAACTAAGACTCTGTTGGTTTGTTTATTTTTGTAAGAAACTGTTTATTTTCTGTCAACCTTATTTCCATTTTCTGTTGCCATCAATTTTTAAGAAGCACCATTTTAAATGTATATTTAGGAAAGAAAAAGACTGTTAACTAGAAGGAGAGAGAGGCCATTAGTTGTAAGGTAGAGTCTGATTTCAGCCACGTTAAAAAGCAAAAACAGAACAGTGTGCTTCCCCCCTGCCCCTCCCCACCAATGTGCTTCCTGGAGTCAATAAAATCTGGGTCAGGACTCGATTAGATGTCGCTTTCCCTCTGACAGGGCTGCTTATGTTGTTAAAATCGCCAGGTAAGCAGGACAGTTCCCTTTCAGCCCATCGCTGGCTCTCTCGGCTTCCTTCTGCACCATGCTAGGTAAGCACTTTGAACTTGAGAAACACTTGACTGCCCTCTTAAATGGTCTGGATTGTTTAACCACAAAAGGTTTGGGCTTTTATGCCTGAAAGTGCTGTGGGTTTCTTTTTTGTTTTAATTTCACTTTTCAAAACTAAAAAAAAAATAGCTCGTATGGTTAAAATTGTCAAAGCCATTTGTAGGTACTGATATAGCTTCTCTGGGACACTTCCCTTAAGTGGTAAAGGTGGCTCAAAGGACACCTCTTCTGAGTAGAGTCCAGTAACATCACCCAGTGAGAAGGGTAACATTGAGAGGTGACCAGTGAAGGAAAAATGGCAGGAAGTGTCCCCCAGTTAACAGAGATCTATCTCGATGTCCTTGTGTTTCAGCGTTGCCTTGTCTAGAAATCCTTCTGACCATTTCTGACGGAATTCTTGACTATGTGGTTAAGAGCTCATTGTCTCAGAAGGGAGCCTGTTTATTTTTGAACAGCTAGATGTATTACAAACAGGAGGGTGATTGTGTTTCTTTTACTTTTTGTTTCTAAAAGAATTTTGCATAATCCATTTACTTTGTTTTGAAATTAGGGTAAATATAGGTGACCACAGAAACTTCATGTTCGAGCTGAAATTTATTGGTTTCTGGCATGTATCCATTCATACTGGTTCTGTTTCTCTAGAAGTCCCCAGCCGTGAAAGTCTTTCTCACCCAGTATCATGTCTTCTCTTAAGATTTATAGGAAATGTCCAGTTCCTATCAGACATGAATTTAAACAGATCTGGGTTTATTGCAAGGTCGATTGTGAGTTCAGCTCTAGGTTTTACTCACTGAGTGAGTGATCTTGGGTAACTTACTTATTTTTTCTCATCTTTAAAATGAGGATAAAGAGTTTGTGAGAAGTAAATTGGTTGGTTCATGTAACACCTGTAGTAGTGCCTGGCCAGTAGTCAGTGCCTAGTAAATGTTAGTACCTTAGTTACTAGTCCAGTAGGCTTCTACGACCCCATGCTTCCCAAACTCAAGTAAAACAAAAGCATCTCACTACTGTTAATTTCTTAATTTCTGTGAATGGTGCCACAAGTGTTCCAGTCTCAGAATTCTGAAATCCTGATGGCATTTCCTTTTTTTTTTTTTTAGCTTCCATCTTTCTCTTGATTGCACTGTCCAAATGAACTATCAAGTCTTCTTCTCAGCCCTTCCTCTAACTCTCACGACCACTCATTTTGACAATTATAAAAATCTACTGCCTGGTTTCCTTGCCTCCAGTTTTTCTAGGACAGTGTGTTCGAAACAGCAGGGACTTCGATGGTGGCCTCAGAATCTGATTCCACCACATACAGGAGTGGATGGGTATTCTGAGATTTAGTTCCAGAATCAGCCACACGGGAACCTGCCTCTTTCAGACCGATTGCTGGATAATGAGATAAAATTTTAAGATAAAACATCTGAGGTGTTCGTGAAATGTCAGTCACCTTCTGCTCAGCCCTCCAGTTCATTCTACATTTGGTGGCTACATGAATTTCTGAAATCAGTGTTTTAATTATATGTAATTAAAACCTTGCTTAAAACCCTCCGAGACTTCACATTTCCTACGAAGGCATGTCTGAAGTCTTCAGCACACATAAACATGGAACAGAGGCTCTCAAGCCAGGCTGGGTGTGCTTGAATCCTGGCTCCATGACTTACTAACAACCTTGGACAAGCTTTGTGACCTCTGCCTCAGGATTTCCTCATTTGTAGAATGAGCGTGATAATAATATTACCACCGCATAGGATTATCATAAAAATTGAATTATTGCCCATGTATAGTTCTTGGAAAAGTCTTCACCTGTCATTATCCCATACCCTCCCCTATGTCCCACCAGCGTTCTTTCCTGGCACTTTTCCGGTGACTTTTCTTTAGTACTCCTGGGCTCCTGACAAGCCAGACAGTGTGTTTTCCCAGATCTGTCCCTCACGTCTCTTCTCTGTGAAGGTCTCAACTGCCGCTCTCTTCCCAAAGTATTTCCTCTGTTGATTTACCTTATGATTGTGAGTTTTGCGTTTGCCCCCCCCAAATCTTGACTCTACGAGTCATGTCAGATTAAATTCTCTCAGCTCCCTCCTTCCAGGATTTTTTAGGGAGAATGGGGAGAAGAGCATGTCTTACCATCTGTGCCTTTTATCAAACTGTTGGAATTGATTGTTAACCTGTCTTCTTGCCTTGTTGGACTATAAGCTCCATTAGGGCGAGCAAAGTACCTGTCTTGTTTGTCTCCATTTCCCAACTCATAGCAAAGTGTCTGGCACATAATAGGCACGCAGTGAATATTTATTGAATAGGTGGTTGAAGAGAGCAAGATTGAAAAGTATACTTCCCCCATTGGCATCTCCAGATTGCAAATTCTTCTCTGCTTCTGGAGGGAACCACTCCTAGCAAGGCTGCAAGTCAGTGCTGTACAATACTCTTGGCTACTGAGCTGATTTTGGAGGCTTTGCTGATAAAGCCATGGGAAGTTAGTTATTAGCATTTATGAGTGGTATCTTAATAATACCAACTTTCATAGGTACTTGGACTGAATCCAGATTTATTTTCCTAGTATAGTTTCAATTTTTAATATGCATTCTTTGCTTTGTATGATATTTCACTTAGCACAGTGTTTTCATAGAAATAGTGAAAAAGAATTGCTAAGGAATCCAGAACTCCCATAAATCCTTTGTGAAATCTGCAGTGGAAAGCTGCAGAACCAGTGTCCAGTCCACACGTGATGAAATGGATTTTGTCATCCAAAGACCAGTCCATACTGGCACAGAGTGATCAGACATAAAATAGGAAGGACAAATGTAAAAAAGCACATGAAGTCATCTGGTCTTAGTTTCAGAATTCTTTCTGGATTTTATTCATTTTCATTCCATTTCTTTCGTTCTCTTCTCTTAATACTGCTGGAAGGGGCGAGTGCTACCCACAATTTTTTTTTGGCAGACTTGGGTGTCCCAAGTTAATTAACATTTTGGCCTCCAGTCTGGAGAGCAGACCCTGTTCTCTTTGTAATGGGCGCCATCAAGGAAGCTTTTCAAAGGCAGAGGGAAAAAAAATGACACCCACTCTGCTGTCAGGGATTTTTATGAGGGTCAAGTAGCCTTGGCAAGAATTCAGGCCAGAATGACTTGGCTGCTGCAAAGAGTGCCACAGCCCTGTGGCAGGTTAGACGTGCCATAAACCTGCATTCACTCGATTCTTAAGGTGGCGAGAAGTTGTTGCACTGTGGCCCAAGAATTTCTTGTACACTTTTTTAAAAAAGAAGTTTATTTATTTATTTAATAAATTTGGGGGGTGGTTGGGGGAGAAAATTAGGTTTATTTCTTTAATTTTAGAGTTGGTCCTGAGGATTGAACCCACAACCTCATGCATGCTGAGCATGCGTCCTACCGCTTGAGCTATACCCTCCCTCCGAATTTCTTGTTTACTTTTGTTTCTCTTTTTTGGCAAGTGCCGGTTGGATGGTTTGCTGCCCTCTCTTGGCTCACCTTCCCTCTTGCCAAGCATGCCCCTGCTCAGAATCACCATAAACCAAGTCACCCTAGTACTTGTTGGTCCACCACACATCAGCATACAAAATATTCTTTGGGGTTCACAGAGGGCACCAAAAATATGTCTGTGTAACTGAGGAAACACGGCGCAAAGTCTGATTTCATGGTCAAGTTTTTCTGCTAAGCCTCAAACAAACATTAACGTTTCTCTTGACCCAATTGTGGTAGTTTTATTATTTTTCTTAATAGCAGCAGTAGCATTGGGGCATGATTTCCAAAGGCAAAAGATTCAGGGAGGTTGAGGTGATACAGGAACTCATTCGCTCTTCCTAACGGCCCGATGAGGTACCATTATCATCTGCATTTTACAGATGAGGGAACTGAGGCATGGAGAGGTTAAGTAACTGGTTGGTGTTTATCTTGGCAGGTCAGGACTAGAGTTTTTGTTTTTTCTAAGGTTCCTTCCAACCCTAAGCAGCCCTGAGATCAAATTCTTATTTGGGTGGAGATGAGAGAGACAGGGGTGCAGGGCTGTGTACTAGTTAAAGCTTTGAGGGACACATATGACATCCTGGGCTTCCTCACAACATCCAGGGAAGTCGAGGGAGGAGCTGGATGGCTTCACGGGGCTGTGAAGGAGACTTTCAATCTTCTTCCAGGTCAGAGGTTGCAAACCGGTGACCCCCTAGCCTCCATGAGGCTACATTAAAAAGAATTTGAGCCAGGATTTAAAAATCAGAAACTGTCATGTGAAAATCCAGATTTCCAGCTTTTTCTAGAAAAACTGGCAACCTTCAGCCCTCATTTCCTGAGTGACAGTCAGCAGGAGGTCCAGAGCGGCTGCCCCTCCAGGCAGCATAGCGTCCCCACTGCCAGAGTCATCCCTTCATTACCTGCCTGGACCCTGCGGGCGTTTCTCATCCTTGACGCTACGGACACTTAATCCTTTGTTGTGAGGGGCTGTCCTGCGTGTTGGAGGGTCCTGCATCCTCAAGCTCCACCCACTAGAAGCCAGTAGTACCCCTTCTTTAGTGTGACAACCGAAAGTGAATCCACAGCTTGCCAAGTGCCCCCCTGGGGAGTAAAAGGCTCTCTGCTCTCAAATTTCTGGGCCTGAGAATCCGATTGATCTGGCTTGGTTCCAGGGTCTCCTCCTGTGCTCAGGTGGCAAGGTGGCATTGACCGTCATGACTGCCACCTCCTGCAGAAAGGGAAACAGGACAGGCAACCCGTTGGGTATCCCCTGTAAGAACAGGGATGCAAAAGATCTGTGGTGAAAACGAAGGAGAAAGTCCAGGAATAAGTCTCAGTGGCATAGCCGTCTTAACTTTCCAAACGATGTTCTTTGTACCAGTTCCTGCATTTTGTCTCTCCACGGGTCCGTGAAATAGCCAAGGCACACGGTTTGCTTTTCTCGTTCAACAGATGAGGAAACAGAAGTTAAGGCTGTTGCCTGAGGGCGCACAGCCACTAGACAGAGGAAGGACTAGAACCCAGGCTTTCTGGAGCCCACCCTGCCCCTCTGGTTCCCCCTGAAATGGCACCCTGCTCTGTAACACACCACCCTGTCTGCTCTGGGGAGATTGAGGGGGAGGAGCAAAGCCAGCCGGCATCAGACTCAGCCCGGCCCTGAAAACATGAATGACGCAGCCACTCTTGTCTGCAGAGCAGGCTTAGTTGGCTGGAGGCCACCCTGTCTAACTCCCGCTCTAGTCGGTCTGGGTGTAACCCAGCCATTATGGTCTCTCTCTCTCGGGTTTCAAATGCACAGGAACAATTAAGTCATTCTCATAATTTCATGTGGTACAGAAAGTCCCAAGCCAAAAATACCATCCTTGGTTCCTACTTTTAGACTTTCAGGGAACTTCCCCCTCCTTCCCTCCCTGCAATTCACTTTGATTCCTTCTGTTTTTCTCTTCTTGAATGCATTGGCCAGGTTACCTAACGATGAGCTGCAGACCCAACACAGATCAAAATAAACCCAACCTCCGTTTGGCAGGAGTGGTGAAAAGCGGGGATTATCGGCGGTCCTCAGATACAGAAGCTTAAAACACAAGAGTGTGCAGATCTCACCTCCAGCATGTGGGGACAGGGGAACTGATCAGTAAATAACCACGGAAGGATGATGGGGTGACAAGTGGAAGTGGTGGTATGTGGTATATTCCTGTTATTATTTCTGGGTTCTAAGTAACCACAGTCAAGTCCCTTTCTGTGTCTTCAGTGTATAAAATTTCTTGTCCCCTAGGACTGTCACATCAGTCCTCTGTTACTTCCTTAAATCATTAATTTTTCTAGATCTTTCTCAGATGTATATTAACTGTTAGGTCTTGACAGACAACTCATTTAGTCTTTGTGTACACACACACACTCTCGTGTGCACACACGGTGTCTTTGCCTTGGTGCCTGGTACGTGCTGCTGGACCACCATTTAAGTTATAGCAAGAACTAAATGCAATGAATTCTGTTTAGAGATGGTTTGGAAGTTTCTTCCATAGGAACAGATTTATAAGCTTATTTGTAGCATGTCTTTTCCCTAGAGCAGTGGTTCTCAAAAGCTCTAGCTTGCGTCAGAATCACCTGGAGAATTCATAAAAACACGGATTGTTGATCCCACCCAGAGCATCTCATTCAGCAGGGCTGGGGTGGGGCCAGGACTCTGCAGTTCTAACAAATTTCCAGATCTTGCTGACATGGCCCCTTTCTTTTGTGAACTAGACTAATCAAGAATGGTGCTTTCATCACTAGGCTTCCTCAGCCGCCGTGCTGACTTGCTTTCGCTGTTTCTGTGCCTTCAGTTGTGCTGTCCCTGGAAAGCCCCCCTCTTCCCCATTGGCCAACCAAGTCCTCTGCATCTGCCAGACCCAGCCCAAGCTCCCACTCCTCCACCTACCCTTTCCTGACTACTCTGACTCACTCATGTCACTTCCCTTCTCTGAACTCGTCCAATTTTTAAAATAAGCCGAAGAATTGATTCTGTGGCTTCTATCACGTGCACGTTGCTTGTTAGTCCTTTCCCCGTAGAGGCCGACCACATTTGGTTATTGAACATGGCTGTGCCTCATATACTCTTCTGTGTGTCCCTGTGCCTTGCACAGGGCTAAGCACCTTGTAGATAACTCAACAATTTATTGATTGATGAAGGTTCAAAGTGAATTCAGAGAGGAAATAGAATGCCGCGTCTACCACCGATGGGCATTGCCTGATACACCCACCAATTGCGATCTGATACAGTAACCCCAGTGACTTCTGCGCCCAAAGCCACAGACCTTTCTGCCGGATTCAGCAGTACCCAGGCTTCAGTCTTTAGGGAAAGGATGTTATGCGCTTGCTCAGTATGGTGGACACCCAGGCCCACTCTCAGAGCCATCTGAATGGTTGCCATCACCATGCCTGTTGACAGCTGTGCATGAGAATCAGTCACTGGACCCCGGGGCAGCGTGATGGCTGGAGTGTGTCAGCATGCACGGAGAAGCACCGAGAGGAGGGGGGATGATGGCAGTCGTGCCGGGAAAGTAGGTTGGGACCAGATTGTGAAGGTCTTAACGTGGTATATTAGGGGCTTGGTCTTTGTCCTATAGAAAACAGAGGGTTTTTAGAAAAGAGAATGTCAATCAAGTTTGTTTGTTGCGATCATAATTACGGAGGTCACGGGCTTCGTATGGAGAAGGTAAGAAACTGACAGAGGCAAACTTGAGAGTAGAGTGGTTTTGATTTGAAGGATTCTTTCCTGATGGCCAGCATTCCCTCCCTTTCCTCAGGTGCTGTTTTAGTATCTGGGTGATGTTTAGTTTCCTAGGGCTGCTGTAACAAATGATCAAAAGCTGGGTGGCTTGAGGCAACAGAAACTTACTCTCTCCCACTTTTAGAGGCTAGAATCCAAGGTTGGTAGGATCACGCTCTCCGAAGGCTCCAGGGGAGAACCTGTTCCACGCCTTTCTCTTGGCTCCTGGTGTCACCACGGTCCTTAGTTTGCAGATGCATCACTCGTCTCTGCCTCCGTCGTCACACGGCCTTCCCCACCACGTGTCTGTCTCTCCTCCTCCTCTTACAAGGGCGCCATATTGGACACACTGGATTAAGGCCCGCCTAATGACCGCATCATAACTTGATTACACCTACAAAGACCCATTTTCCAAGTTAGATGACGTTCATTCACAAGCACTGGGGGCTTAGGACTTCAACATACCTTTTCCTGGAGGGGGACGCAGTGGACCCCGTCGCAGGCACTTGCTCTGCCACACCCTGCTGTTTTAGGGCTCAAGGAAGCAAGGGCTTGCCGCGCTTCCCAGCTGGCCCTCTCCCCTGTGTGATGTGCTCTTGGGGAGGGTCAGGAAGCTGCCTTCACCTCCAGTGATACTAGCGGCTCATTTAAGTAGTTATGAAGGGAGGGTCCACAGGAGCAAAGCAGCAGGAGGTGGGGAGCTGACCTGAAAGACCAGCCGGGGTGCTGTTGCAGGTGAGAAAAAAGTGACCTCAAGTAAGTCCGCGGCTGTGAGAATCGAGAGGAGGGGGTAGAACTGAAAAACAGGTCAAAAGGAAGAAGCAGTGGGATTGGTTGTAGGGGGAGGAAGGACTCAAGGGTAATTCTGCGTCTGCTGAATGATGTGAGAGAGTGTGTGTATAGGTGTGTAATATCTATCTGTATAGTACACAAGCATTTATTAATTTGGGGGGAAGATAAAGCCTTAGGGACAAGCCTCTCTTCTGAGTCTCTCCTCAGTTGACTAAGGTGATGCTTTATGGTGGTGGGAAGGAGAGGAATAAACTGGCAATGCTAAGGAAGAAAGTGGAGAGCAACCTTGGAAATCTGTGGGAATAAAGATTTTTAAAGAAAAAATGGGGTGAGGGGAAGACACAACTTTTGGCCCACAACCTGCTGAGAGATTCCTCTAAACGGAGCATAGCCTGAGCCAGTGGCAACCACTCACCTGCTAAGTGGACTCCTGACCCCGCCCTACAGGTCCTTCATCAGGTCAGTTCCAGGCTGTCTTCCAGCCTGAGAGCGGGCCGCTGGCTGACCTCCAGGGAGACTCAAATGTTCCTTGTGAACATACGTTGCCAGGCTCCCGCATAATCCTCGTAATACTCTCTTCACCCGTCGGTAGCTAGCTTTTGCACCTGTTACATCTCATTCGGTTTTCACCACCTTGGAACAGTGGGAAGTCCCTTGAACAGGTCACAAGAACTGAATTCGTGTCTTCTCAGTTTTTTCCCTAGGAGTGGGGGTTAGTGCTCGCACAAGACGCTTAGCTTCTCAAAGCTCCATTTTCTCATCGGCAATGGACCAATAGCACCATTCTTACAGGATTATGGGGGGGATAAAAGTCAGCTAATGCATGTAAAGTGCTTGGCTCAGAGCTGGTCCCTAATACATATTCATTCCCTTTCCCCTCCGCTTCTCTCTTCCTTCTCTTTTTCTTCCAGGTTTTCTGACTTTTGGGGCCTAAGCCTCTTTTTTCCATTCTACTTCTCTGGAAATAAAGCATAAATTAAAAAATAGATAAACTAGGAACAAATTCCTGTAAAGGATTTGTTTTAAACTCATGGGAATCAATTGTAAACTGCATTCTTGTCCAAAGGGCTGGATTAGGGGTTTTGGAGTCCTCGAAGCAAACTGTGAGAGTGAAGGTGAGAAGCAAATGTCAGAATTATCATCGGGATTAATGCAGACCTAATTCAGAGGCAGAGTCTGTGGCTCCCTCTGCCTCTTTCCCACACCGGCCGGTCCCAGCTGCTGGAATCTGTCAGCTGGGGCTCCTGCTTCTTCCAACAGAAAACAGCTCTGCAGAACCTCATCCTCCCGGGGCCCAGGGTATCGAAGCAGCTGTTGGCAGATCAGGTCGGCTAACCCGGGCTCAAGTGCCACCCGAGACGCTGGAGAGTGGCCGCTGCCCAGGTCATCCCGGAAGCGCCTCTGGATGAGGTCCACTTGGACTCAGTTTCGCTCTGAAGTTAGAAAGCAGTGGCCTGCATTTCCAGCTACAGAAAAGTGGGATCGGTGATCCGGGCGGGTCTGCCCCCTCGACCTTCTGCCTCTGTGCTCTCCTGCGTTTCCCCGACAGGAGTGCTTTCCCAGTGTCCCCAGACCGGAGGTTCCATGTCAGAGTCCCTCCCACAGAGATTTTGGCCCGAGGTGCAAAGATACAGGTACAAGAAGGCTTACAGCCACGTTGCTCTTAATAGGGAAAACAGGAAAATGACCCCAAGGGCTAGCTAGCCACAGGGCTTTTTTAGATGAATGGCATCATGGGCAAGTCACTCACCCTCCCAGAACTTCCAGATCCTCGTGTGTTACTTGTAAATCACTAGTCCCCAGCCTGCAAATGGTTTTACAAATGTGAGGGATGGGATGAATCAACGGTGAAAAAAAGTCCTTTGAGGCCTTTTACAAATAAAGGCATTTTATCTGTTTACTCTTGGCACTCAGAAATCTAACGTTTGAGGTTCTGCCAACCTAGGGTGCAATCCCGTAGCAGTTTGCAGTGTATCTAAGGTGTATATATTTTTATCCATTCACAGATGTGAATTTTCTCCCATGAGGATGAGAAGCGAACAGGTGAAGTAGTAGAGGTTGAAATGTGATTACATTACAGAGTCTTTAAAGGCTCATTAAAACAGACATTTGTTCGGTATCTTTTATGCCCCTGTCAGGGGGCTCTGGATTATTGGGAAAGAGTGAGACAAAAAGGTAAAAATAAAGAATATACTTTGTAATTGGATAAACCATAAATGCACTCCTGAAACAATTAGTGAGCATAACAATAGATACAGCAATGTTATAAATCCCAGACCCTATAACCTGGCACTAAAGAACTTCTTTAACTAAAATTAAATTTAATTTTGCTACTTAAATACGGGAAAAAAATTCCCAGCTGAGAATACGCAGCTGCAATTAGGAGAGCGTTTTATTGATTGTTACTGGTGTAAGTGTTTTATTTCTCTCCCACTTAACATTCTGGATGTAGACAGGGCAGGGTTGGTGTGGAGCCCTGCAGTTTTCTGCTGTGCTGTGCTAACCCCAAGGTGTGGCCCTGGTCCTCCGGGGCTCTGGCCACCCACCACCTGCCCATCTTGAGCAAGGGAGGGGTAAGGAGGGCCACACCCCCTCCCTCCTTTATGGTGTGTCCTAGGACTTGTACATACCCCTTCCACTAACATCACCTGGCCACACCTAGATGCACCAGAATCTGGGAGTGAATTCTTTTCTTGCGAGTAATCCTGTGCCCAACTAAAAGGCGGAGATGTTATTACTCCATGAAAGGAAGCACAGATGTTGCGGGAACAACTCGCAGGTGCTCCACAGCTCAGCCTCCTGTCTGCCCGGGAGCTGATTGTTCAGTGATTGTTCAGAGGGAAGGAAGTCTGAATGGAGGGAGAAACAAGTCGCTGCAAGAAGATTCGATCAGTGTTGAGTCAGTCTGTTAGGGAGGTCCTGGGGCAGTTTACTGCTGCTTGTATTTTTGGTTTCTCTAAGTAAAGATTTCTTTTGAATTCACTTATTATTGAATGATCTTTTTGATGTCCTGTTCGATACAAAGGCTGCTCAGAGGCCGTTGTTTGAGAAAGGAAAAGCGAGCCCTGACCTCCTCTGGTCTGACGCAGCTAGGCCTCCGTGTCATTGGAGCTGGGCTGGCGCTCATGGCTCAGCCATGTTCTCCTGTTGGACAGGAGTGAGATCACACAGGACCAGCCTCAGACAAGGTGCCTCTGCCACCATGGCCAAGGGAGACCAAGCAAGGCCACGGCTTAATTTCATGTAAGCACAGACAAAAACGAGGTTCCTGGACAACCCATGATACCCACCAAACATCCCCTCACCCGGCCAGTAGGAGTGGCCACTGCTTCTTTACCGTTTTATGGCCCTTTCTGTGCTGTGAGGGTCAGCTCTCAATAGATAACACTTAATGAGATACTCACAGAATTGCCCTGCTTTCTGACAGTGCCCAGTCTAGAGCAAACCCTTGTTTCCTTAGACCTCCCTGAACACCACCCAACCAAAGTCCATCCTGTAATAAGTTCTGCCACCATCTTTCCAAGGAGGTCCCACGGTCCCCCACGGTGTACGCTCTCCCTCACTGCGATGAGTAATGAACGCGCTCGTGCAGCTACAGGTGTGTTCCTGCCGGTCTCCGGCTGTCAGGCACTGACGTGTTGCACAGTGGAAGGGGTGATACTGTCCTCTACATTTAGAGATCTGTGTTCATTCAGAGGAGATCTGACTGCAACCGTGGGCCTCTGAAAGCCTCGGTTTCCTGATCTATAAATTTGAGGATGGTGATATGATATCAACCGTCCAGGGTTGTGAAGTGAAGGAATATATGTGCGAGTCCTTTTTAGATTACAAAGTGCTTTAGAAATCTAAGGCATTTAATTTTGGTTATGACAGGGAAAACAGTGACAAATTCTGTTTTTCTAAGATTTGCATTGAGCGGAGGTCGATGAATAGCTCGTTTTATAGCTTAATTTAAATCAGTAAGTAATTTTGCATTCGTAGCATTCTTTTCTTCTTCTTTTTTGTGTCCATTGCATTTCTAACCAAACCACGGCAGTTTCAACAGAGCCCTCTTGAAAGAAAAGTTTTTCTGAAAAGAAGGTAACATAACAACATTGAATAGAGAAAACAAGAAAGGCAAAAGTCACATGATTTATTTTGTGTCATACCTAAGTAATTAAGAGAGAGCCCTTTTCCTTAACCACCTCTCCAAGATTTTCAGTGGGCTTCAGAAGTCTAAAGGAAAACTCTAGAACCAGGGTACATTTCAGCTCCAGTTATTTCTCGGGGTCACTGTCACCCCAGTTTTGTGAAGAGAGGAAAAGAGCTACCTGAAGCAATGGAGTGGGAATCCATTCTGCCTTTTGCTTTATAATGTGACCTTGGGCGAGCACCTGATGGTCACTTCCCTCATTTAGAAAATGTGAATAGAGATGTCTGCATTACAAGTACAGTCGTCTCTTGGTGTCCTTGGGGGACTGGTCCAGGAGCCCCGTGGGTACCAGTACCCGCTGATGCCCTCATCCCTTTATGGAAAATGGTGTGGTAGTGGCGTATAACCTGCGCATATCCTCCCGTATACTTTAAATCGTCTCTAGATTACTTATGATACCGAGTACAGTATAAGTGCTATGTAAATTGTTGCACATGGCAAATTCAAGTTTTGGTTTTTGGAACTTTCGGGATTCCCCCCCCCGCCACCCCCAATATTTTTAGTCTGTGATTGGTTGAATCTGCGGATGTGGAACCCAAGGATGTGGACGGCTGACTGTACTTCAGCCATCACTCCAATAGGAAAGTGTATTGCAAACGCTTACCTGTGGAGTGCCACATATTCAAGAAGGGAACGATGATGCTCCTGGTGGTGTTTTATGGGGAGAGGGCCTGTGTAGCTGGTTCTGTGTAACAGGCAGCGTTTGAGCGCCGACTTTGTGCCCATTGCATCTATGATAAATTGTGCCACTGCCTTGGATTTCTTGCTCTTACAAGCTACGTAGAGGGCCACATTCAAGGAGATGCTTGTGTCTCGCTGCCAGTGCTTGGGGACGTAGCCCAGCTGTGGGTCACACTGCTCTCTCCAAGGGGGACCCTGGGTGGCACTGTAGCCTCTTGCCTGTTTATTTCAGACAATGGATTTCATCTCATTGGCAGCTGATTCTACCAGAGTTAGACCTGACTGGAGTCTGAAATTACCTGTTAACCTGGATGGTTTCTAGAAACACCATCTGGGGTGTCGCATTTTCTTTCGTGTGGGGATCAGTTAATTCGGTAGGTAGCGTGGAGTGATGCTAAGCGGTGGTCTTATCAGACCGCAGCAGAGAGCTGTTGTTCCCTCTCAATCTAGAGGTGCCCTTGGCTAGCAGACTAACGCCATAGGTGCCCTGGCCACGACGTCCTTCCCTCTTGGACAGAAGCAGAGGTAGCCTGACCAGTCCTTACTTTCCAACACTGTTTTTATATTTTAAACTGGCAAGAGTCTTTTATCTGCCTTCAGTACCTTTCCAGTACACGTGTATGGTCCTTGCGTATTCACTGCATAGTGAGTGCACTTTACACCTCATTGTTCAATTACAGATTTAATAATGTTGAAAGCTCTGAGGAGCGCCAAGCACTACGCTGGGTGGACTCTCAGAATTCAGAGAAAATGGGACAGCGCTCCCTGTCCACATGGCACTCAGCGTCAAGTCAGAGAATCCCTTGTGTTTATATCGAATTAATGTCAAGATGGCTTGGCCAACGCAGCCATCGAGATGGTTCCCGGGGTCAGTGTGGTTCTCCTAATGGCCCTGTGAGAGTGGCTGTGATGCCCTTCTCATGGACGAGGTAAGTGAGACCGAGTGGCCTTCAGTGGCTGCTGTGGTCTCCCAGCTGACACGTAAGCACTGGCCTTCTCCACCCGCACACGCTGCCCCGCCACTTGCCTTGTCAGCCTGCTTTCATGGCACGTTGCCATGTCAAGATGACAGATTAATGTCTCTGTTGGTTACATAGAAATTACATTTTGGGTTGACCATTCTCTCTAGACATTCAGGGAAGTGCCCTGGTGGGCACTACTGCCCGGATGGACATGTCCTAAATCTTACTTCACCCAGCGAGCTGATCTCCTCGTTGGCACGATGGTTTCTGTTAGCTTCACGGTGTACTGTTTCTAACCTTTTCTTGCTCCCCTTTCCCCACGTCGGATGCTCATCCTGCCCAGGACGTTCCTGGGATGTGAGCCGGATCCAGTCCTCTCTCCTTACCTCCAGTGAAAGCTTTATCTCTGCCGGGCAGTGGTCAGGTTCGCCCTTCTTTAGGTATTTGCATTTTGGGGGAAACAGGTTTGAGGATGGGGAACTCTAAGTTTTGTGACGTTATCCCAATGAGTGTGAGGGCGTAAATTGGGAGAAATAAATTAACTTGTCTCCCCAATTCTCTCTTGATGTTATCAAAATAACTCATTTACATGGCACCGATTTACAAAGGGCTTCCTGTCTTTTATCTCGTGTCTTTGATCCCTCACTCACCACCCTGAGAGGTTGGAAACAAGGGAGCTGAAGTAAGTCCCTGAGGCCACCCAGCCACTGAGCGGCAGAGAGGAAATTTGAGTCTCTTCTTCAGGCTCCAGTTCTTTGCTCTCTGCCAGGTCGTGGCAGAAGATGGGCTTAGTGATGACAAAGTTGGCTCAAGTACTGACAGCGGTTGTTACTCACTTTATTCCTCCCAGCATCCGAGAGAATCTTTGCAGTTATAAATTGTAACCTCCAGCATTAACCCCAGAGGCATTGCTGAGGGTCTTAAGTGCTTTCACCCAATTCCAGGCTCCTTTTAAGTCTGTGAAGGGTGTGAG